ATGTTCTTAATCAGATATTTTTTTCTGAGATGGAAGCTTGCCCAAGACTGGGATCTTCCACCCTTCTTGGTATAATCTTGCAAGGCAAGTTCAGACCCTCCCATCAAGTAGCTTACGTAATACGTCAACCCAATACACCACCTCCACCACCATAACATGATCAAGTGGATTGAAGGACGAATAGCAAATGATAGAATCTTGTGAGGACTCCATTTGGGCATGATCGATTCCGCCTATTCTCTAACCTGCCGTGCTGAGGAAAAACGCCGTATGAACATTCGAGAGTTGTCGGATTTCTCCGGATTAATCATGTATTTTTTAGGAAAGTGATGCATATTTGTCTGTGAAATTTTCAGATATTTTAGATCAAATTGTTAACAAAATAATCTGAAAAATTTGACGAAAAATATTAACAACTTTTCCGGTACTTAAATTCGGTTTTTATTGAAGGAAATGTGGCAACGTCTGAAGGTTCATACGGCGTTTTCCCTTAGCATGGCAGTAATCCACCGTGGGCCGTGCAAAGTAAGCCACCCGCTGCGCTTCCACTCAGGTGGGAAATGTGTGTGGGAAAAATCACGTAGTTGAGGCTCAGCCGTTACTTCCGCTGAGGAGCACCATCAAATCGCCTCCACTTATTTATCTCGGGAGATCCGTCTTTTTCTCGACCACGTTTTCTCGGCCAAGTTCGACTTTAGAGCACGAACGGAAGAATCTTTACCGTGACAATGACCATCGTTCAATCGCGCTTTGTTCATGAGTTACGCATGATGATACAAAAAAATCTTAATTGCCCAGCTGTTTACCATCGTGGGAGGATACTGCCATTAGTGCCTCTTGCAAGCAATGCTGGGTTCCCCTCGTTTAAAAGTATGTAAAATAATCGATTTTACAAGATAGCCTCATCACCTTGCGTTTGCAACCCCTCAGTCTTAAGCGGGTCTGGACACTTTGAACGAGGGTGGGGGCTCTTTCAGGAAACTTGCGGCGAAATTTGAAAACGTCCATATGATATGCAATTTGAGTCAGTTTTGTCATGAATAATTACCAATTATAAATGTTCCCTCTTTTCTCTTTCCTCCGTTTCTTCCTCCTTTCCTCCCTCCCTTTTTCTTCCTCTTTTTTTCAGGGAGAGGAAGGGAGCATACGCCTTCAACGACCCCCCCCCCTTAAATTCGCCCATGCCTACAGTTTGCATTTCGAGCCTTAGTTTAAATCGTATTTCTCCAGAATACAGTTTGTTGAGCTTTCATGCAAGTGCAGGCACCAAGAGCAATATGTAAGTTCCTAGTTCACCAAGAATTTGGCGAATATCGGCTACGAGGCTGGGTCAGGTATGTTATCAGACGAAATGGAGGCGAAACCCCCTGCCGTACTCTGTCCTAGCCTCGGACTCATGTTCCGATATCTGCATTCATGCACCTTCCTTAATGAGGCCAGTAACGAGGACCTTGAGTCGCGTTGACACGGAGCTGCAGTTTCAGGTGACAGACTGATTCGAGCCTCAATCGGTTCACTTGTCCAAATAAATCATTTTCAAAAGTTCCCAGGAGACATTACATCGATATCTGATTTATAAAGAGGAATGACAGGTTGCTCACTAAAGCTTGTTCTATCCTTGAATCGATATTACGGAAAGTCGAATGTCACCCGATGCCCTCTCGAGAAACATTGCCTATAAAAAAGGAACTTCCTAAAACTGCTGGTGACACTTTCTTCTTTAATTAGTGGCACTGTGCAAAGGTGAGGTGCAGGTGAGGGAGGTGATTATGCATCCATCGTTACAGATTGTTGGCAAAGGCAGTTAACTCGATTTTTCGGGTCGTATTCATAAGCTTTCCTTTATAAACAGCTCCTTTCCTCTAAGAGGTCCTATATGTTGTACACAATGATTAAGGATACCTTTCAAAAAGCATAATTAAACAAAAATGTCACGATCTTCCAGTAAAATCCAAAGGTAAAATTTTATAAATAGGTCCTTGGGAGAAATTACAATGATCTGCCTGTATTAAAATAAGAAGTATTAATTCATTTTATTACTGATTCATTTTTTTAAAAGCATTTATTCAAATTAAACTTCCCGGAATAATTATACATATAATTTCTTGACAAAAATATAAGATGATTGTTAGTTAGTTAACTTATTACGACGATCAGCAACTAGGCTATTTACATCGGAGACCAGGATTTTACCTTAAATTTTTAAATTTACTTGCTTAGAAAGCTTTAAAATTTTGGTATACTTATTTTTGAGATGGAATAATAAGGTTATTAAAATATACATGAAAAAATATTGCAAATTTTGAACATTTCAATGTCGGACCGTACCTACCTCAAGGTATGTAAAAATTACAAGAACAGTTAAGTATTTCATGATTTGAACTTTTTGAAACATCAAAAAATTGGAATTTCTTGCTAGGATCCATCTCAAAAGTTATTTCAGTTGAATTTTACTAGAGGCTCGTAAAGTTTTTCTTTTACGATAATTTTCAAATGGCTTCCCTGATCACAACGTTAACTAAGGAACCTATGATATGACCCTTAAAGAGAACCTTCCCATATTTTCGTGACCCGGTCCACCACACCACAGGTTCATCTCAAGCCCCCCCCCCTCCCCGCCCCTAATAAAAAGTCGGCTCCAGGAACGGCGAGGTAGGATTGGGTGGTGATCGATATCGGTTAATGCTCGTACAAGATGTCTCGATGAATAAGTATAGGTTGCGGACACGTAGATAAGCACCTACTGTGGGAGGATGCCAGGCGGATATACGGGGGTGGTGCAAGGTGCAGGGTGCAGAGAAGGGGCGAGATGAAAGGGAGCAAGAGCTTGAGTGTGTATGCAAGAAGTTTCAAGGAGCTTTTGTGCACATGTTGGTTGAGGTTGCGAGGCCTTTGTCAGGATATGCTTCATCTAGCATGATTTCATCAGGGGCGAGGCGCGAATGATTGACTATCGATATTTTCCAATTTGAAGCAATGGTAAAGAGTCGATTATTAGGGTGTTCGTTTCGAACACCCTGTTGTCCGATCCTTTTCCATAGGTGTAAATGACAGATCAATCGATTTATTGTAAAGCACGCCACGCCACTGGATTTCATGGCTGACATTTCAGCCACGCGCGGGTCCCGAATCGCCAGCTAGTAATGAAATCTCCCTGCGCCACGAGATATGTTTTTCGCGTATTCAAACAAACCAAACCCAAATTTCAGGTTTTTTTTTTTTTATTTTTTAAATAGATGGAACCGACCATCACCTCTGGGGGATTCATGGTTCTGATATAAATACGAGCTTTAGATTTGGGTCTACAAATACATCCTAAAAAAAGAATCTGACATCAAACTGAAAGGATAAGAGGAAAAAAGAGTGTCTACACAGCTGAAGGGAGGAGAGACGTAATCGGGCCTCATTTTTATATTTTTTTGCCGAAACTAAGTGACCCTTCATCGGCAGCATAGAGCGGAGCATTGCGAGTTCACGCCTCGCGCCATCGCGCCTTCAATTTTGTAGGAGCAACAACACCTACACGAATCAAGCACGAATAGATGCATCTCTGCGCCGTCATCGCCGCGTGTTAAGGTGTCTTTTATTTTTGAAATTTGAGGAAAGTTGAGGCTACGTTTGCTCAAAATATGCGATGAAGTGTTTAAATAAATAATCATTTCAGAGAGAAAAAAAAATAACAACACGTTGAGAGGTCTTTCAAGCTGCCTAAGTGGCGCAAGTCTAAAAATTCGTATTTTGGCAAAAGTCGACTTTCCGGCATGGACTAAGAGAATTTATGTCCTGAGCCACTGTTCCTTTTTTTAATGGATTCAAATCGGTGCATTAGCCAAAAAATTCTTATTTTGTATTAAGGAACCACTAGTTCTGGCTCATTTTAAAAACAACGCATCTACGCCATTGATTTCCCCATGAAAATACGTGCTTTCATGGAAGAGCCAGAGATAGTGGTTCCTTATTGCAAAATGTAATCCAAATTTAATCAGGAAGGGAAACGCTTTCTGTTTGATTAGTTGGATTGCATTTTGCAATAAGGAACCAGGAGCATTGCCATGTTGCTAAGATTGTGCAACTCCACCTTTAGCAATAAAACCACTGTAACTATGCAATTAAACGGAATTTACATGGTATTTTTTGTCTTAAATTTGCAGTCTTCTGCGTGTAAAATAGAAGATGTTTATAGATGATTAGGTTCTTCTCCCAGGTCAAAAGAAGTTGCACAATTTCAGCAACTTTGTAATTCTCTTGGTTCCTTTTTGAAAAATGCAATACAATTTGCCTGTATGTTCATTTCAGATACGCAGTTCAAAATGGTGAAGTACAAAGAGCAGACCTGGTCGTTTGTGATCATATTGATCATTTTCATCCAGTTTACCTCTTCGATTCCCATTCGACGCAGAGAGCCGACTACAGAGGACACGAGTTTCTTGATCCCTACGACGAAGCAGAGACCAATGAGAATCGAGCTTGATGACGATAGCACGGAGAGCATGAGCGAATCATCGACGAAACCCTCCATGTTGACTCAGGCTATCATCGTCCTACCAGCGCGCCCATGTTCTGGTGACAAGAGACGGGACAGCAACGGAAAGTGTCGTCCGATCTACTGATCTCGTCAACTCTAAAGTAAGAAATCGCTAATTCTCTTTTCGGAGAAAATGAATATCTGCGGGCCGATCATTGAAATTGATAGACGAAGCTATAGACAAAGACGACAAAGGGGATACGGAGGGATCTTATTGGTGGACGCGAATGGTTGCAATGGACAAAGGAGGCAGGTGATAGACTAACTAAAGGCAACCCACGAGAGACCCTAAAGTTGTTGTCCCATCGTTTTCTCCTTCAGTCCATTAGCCACTGTTGCCCACATAGAGAAGCTATTGTCATTGATTTCAAGTGAATACCCTCTTGCTGATAACGGGATTGTTTGATAAAATTGACAGCATCTGTTAAAATGTGTTCAGCGCCTTACTTTATAAAACCTCTTTTTTGTGAGAAGGTCAGATGAAAGAGGTTTGATAACTAGGCTGGCCGATGAAGTAAATTCTCAACCGAATTATTGTTCTTTTCTTGTTCGTTTTGTTTTTCGCTATATTAGCCGTATTCGAAACCACACCAGTTGTTTCGTATTTCACGTATTTACAGTGTTTTTTTTATTCTATCAACTAAATTTTAATGTTCTTGGTGATCCTTACTCAGCGAAAACGTTCGACAGTAAGTGACTTTATATTCTTTTTCCCAACTGAATGAGGTTTATGTTAGTAACTTTGATCCTTCATTTCCCGTATTTCATTCAATGGCACATTGACCTAGTAACCTTTTACCTAGTACTCAGCAATTAAATAAATCAGTCGCGGAAGAAACATGTGTAGTCCATTTTAAAAATATTTTGAGCACCTGCTCCATCTACTGAACCGTCTTATACATATTATAAATTATACATATGTATGTAAGAAGAAATAAAGAATAACCGAATAATAAAACAAGGTGGGCAAAAAAGTAAAAATATGAAGAATTTTTGTTAGCGAGGGGCTTCATTCATCACTTGTACGGATAATAATTCCAAATTACTTACAATAAGTTTACATGATGAATCACAAAATGGTAGAAAGGCAACTGTCTCACAGGAATTCAAAGTTCTCTTTTTGAACTTGGATCACCGAGGCGACTCAAGGATGAATTCATAAAATATAGCCATAGAGAAATGAATCATTTTGACTAAATTTCTTTCTCCGTCTTTGATTGATACCTACTTTCATTGCTTTGATCATTGAACGTATAAGATTCCTATAAACTTAGCATTTTAAAGCAAAGATAAGCTTGGCATGGCCAAACTTAAAGTGTGGTAAATGCAATATACTTTTGCACGAGGTGTATCTTATTTCATAAGCTCATAACTTGACAAATCGCCCAAAAACGCTAACATTTTCTAAAACAGGCTCTGATGACTTGCATTCTAAAAAAATGTGATCATCAAGATCGCGAAGGCCAAAAATAGTAACAATAAGAAAGCTAAATACATTTTAAACTAACGCAGTGAAGTACCCGTTAACTTCAGCTAGCTATTGTTTTTAAAGGTTCCCTCTTGAAGTATCAATGAAGCTTATTCAGGATATATTCCACCTCTTAGTGACCACTAATTGCATTCTACGAGAAAATTGGATGGGCTAAGATTAAGATAAAATCAAGAGGCTAATCAAGCCGTTATGAAGTTTCGGTTCAGGGACGGGCAGGAATTTGACCCTAATTATCGGCTCTCATTTGATGGTTCATTAAAACACCGCGTCTACTGGCCTTGCTTACCCATAACCGCACTTGAACAGCTCATCTCTTGTTTGAACCATGTTCTTGGAAAATGTAAATTCACTCCTCCAGAGGAAGTTTCAAGATCGAACCAATAGGTAATGCAAAAATATACAATCTGTAAAACCTGATCGTTTCACAGACTAATCTGATTAAATGATGATCTCTATGATCGACGGATAATATCAATACAGTGGATGGATAGTAGCCTCTTGAGATATAGGGGTTTAATTAACTGTTGAAGCTGTTTTAAATCCACCAATAAAAATAAATAATCAAGTTTCTAGGGTAACGATTGAGAAAATCACGCGCGAAGGCTATTAAATTTTAAATTCATCGTTCGTGAGTTAAGCACCTCCGTTCAAAAAGTCTGGATGAAGGAAAATGAAGATTCAGTGATCGCATCTTTTGCATCCATAATTTTTTTAGGATTTTGAAAAATTATCAGTGCCCATTCCCGGAGACGAACTAAACTCGACGACTTTTACTTAACATTTTTTTAATCACTTGATTTAAGGGCGTCAATCAGACAAACTAAATTAAACTCAGCAAAAATGTACAACTGTGAATCTCCTATTCGCGATATGAATTTTGGTTTTGAGATAAATGAATTGATTGAGTTTGACGAGCAGAATGAACCTGAGTAGACTTTACCTCGCAAATCCGAGTAAAGTCTCACGCGACATGCACTTTTTTGATCGGTCATTTTTTGAAAGAAGATTTCCCTCGGGATTCAACAATTTCCTTGAAAAAGTTATCACCGCCAGCTTGCTGATTGGATGGAGTTAAGCACAACAGTCACATTCACATGACGGTATTTCAAAATCCTATCTCCTATATTTTGTAGAAATAACTTTTATACGGGCAAGAGATATCACAGCTATTTTCGAGTGGGCACGGTTGGTTGCCTTCCAAAAAATTAAAAAAGGAGATGAGATCTTGAATCACCGCGTTGTAGATGTGACTGTTTTGCTTCACTCTATCAAATTGAAATAATTATAAAACAGTTAATTAACAGTTTCTAGGTTTCCTGGTTATATGCTTTTCAGGCGCGCGGCTGCTTCCAAAAATCTTCAAAGTTCATTGATACTCCGTGCAAAATAAGCAGACCTGAAAATGGTATCTGAAAAATCACAGATACTGGGTGTTGTGTTAACTCTTCTCCTAGCCCAGTCGCAACCTGGAAGTGCCAGTTTTTGGGACTACATATGGAAACCGCCGGACCAGATGCAAAAAGTGAGCGACCCTCTGAGTCCAAACCAAGCCTCGTCCCCAATTGCCAACAACAACCCAAATCCTATGGATCCCAACCGCAATAATCAATATGTTACAAATTACAATACATACAATCAACAACCACAATCTTCAGGTTGGTCCTTCTGGTCCATCCTCAGCGCCATATGGAACTACAACCTGATATCCTCTCTCTTTAGTGGATTTGGTCTTGGTGGTTACGGCGGTTACGGCGGCTACGGAGGTTACGGAGGTTACGGTGGTTACGGAGGCGGATGGGGTATGGGACAGCCTGGGTACGCAGGTGGCGCAGGATGGGGTGGCGGTGGTCCTGGTCCCTCTTCTGGAGGTTCAGCGTCGGCATCTTCAGCGCGAAAAGAGAAGGTGATAAATCCAGGCCCGGGAGACGTGTGGCATGAGCCTTATGAGTCAGCGGTCAAGACTCAGCCCAAGCAAAAGAGCTTCCCCTTGCTTCCGTTTGGTTCTCGACGATCCTTCCCCCGTTTCGGACGAAGAGGCCGGCGAGCAGTTGGTGACTATCAACTTCACGCCAGTAAAAAGCTCGATGGATACGACATCGTTTCCAGAAATGTAATTTCTAACGTATTCTATTGTTTATGCATATCAACCGCCGGTTCGTTTGGTTTTTTTGCAATGGGCCTGTTGCAAACTTTTGCTAGAGCAAAAATAAGAGTTGTTTCTTATAGATAATGCCTCAAAAATCACGATGAGCGCATCGGCAAAGTCTGAAATGCACCCATAACTTCACAATCTGCGTAAGAAATTTGCGTTTTTTTAAGCTTCCCGCTTCAAAAACGATACTACGGCACAAGTGAACATTTTGTTAGAGGAGTCGCTCCGTCGTCGGCGATATTCATCATGGCCGACGCTTGCACGCAGTTCCGCGCGTAATTCAAGGAGAGTTCAAGGTCAATCAATTCGGGCGTGGAAAATATGAACGTTAACACACCGATTGTTATCTGGTCTAATCCAGTTCAGGTGTTATCTCGTCCCATCAAACGTGTTTTGGCGGATTGGCGTCGGCTATGATGATTATTGCCGACAATGGAACGACTCCTCTTACAAAATGTTCACCTGTGCCGTAGTATCGTTTTTGAGGCGGGAAGCTCAAAAAACCGCAAATTTCTTACGCAGTTTGTGAAGTTATGAGTGCATTTCAGAGTTTGCCGATGCGCTCATCGTGATTTTTGAGGCATTATCTATAAGAAACAACTCTTAGTTTTGCTCTAGCAAAAGTTTGCAACAGGCCCATTTGTGGAGTATCTTCTGTACTTTTGTTTTGAATTGGATTTTAGAACGCTTTTTGATAATAATTGAGACTGAGGGAATGATAAGGCCTCACCTTAGCTGCGATATAGTGGCTGTGACAAAATGGCCGGCTAGATCTATTTAAATTTAAACGGTGCTCAGTTTTTCCTATTTTTATTTCGTAAGATTTGCATTCTGCGGGAAAAAAGTAGAAAAATCAATTTCGTCCTGGAAAAAAGGACATTGAAAATTCCTCAATTTTTCTTAAAGCTGTTGGACACTCTCCCTCGTTCCATCTTATTGACAGCGTAATCAAGTTTCTATCCTTATCTTCTGCCGTTTCCTGACTTTGAATACGTGATTATTTGTGATAAATGCATTCCATAAGAAATAGTATTCAAAATTCAATGATTTTGAATGGGTTATTGAGTTTTCCCTTGGGTTCTTCTTAGTCAATTTTTATGTACGCACTTTTTCCCCTGTACTTTTGAATGGACTAATTTTGATTGTCTTATCTTGATTTAGTTCGATGAGTTCGCACATTTTACTTTTTTCAGTTGCAGCATGAACAGATTTTCTCAGGCAACTTCTTCATGCAGTAATTCTCACCATCGTCACACTGTCCATTATTTTCATGCCGCGGTGAAGCCTTGTTGTGGTTTGAAATTTTACATAATACTACTCTGTAATTTTTTTTCTTCCTCAATTTTTTTCGCGCGTTTCACCTCTCACTTTAATATATTGTAAAAGGATAAAACATAATTCAAAAAGAAAACAAGTAGAGATTATATCGCCGGTGTGCAGACAAATTCACTGAAAAAAGTTGCAAAACGGTACTTTGTTCATCTTTCTTGAGTACCAGCGGAGCTTTTTTGCTTGGTGAAAGTCATAAGGTTACATACAGCGTCAAGACAAAAAGTCGCTGAGGACAAGTCTGCCCATCTCTCTCACTCCTTACGTCATGTACACGTTCGTCTTTCACCAGTCATTCGTGAGAGCCTTTGCGTTGCGTCTCGGGCGGTGCTGCGAGGGCCAAGGACAAGATGTAGCGAACGCCTTCAATGATTTCCCTATGCAACACGGACATCCACTGAGCACGAATAGTTGTATCCAGGGGCCAGAAACAAAATCGTGTTACATTTGTCTACACGTGTCTACAACACGTGTTACTAGAGCGTCGCGCGTGGTGCGTCGTGTTTTTGCTTGTTGAAAATAACATTCTCACGAGATGAAATTAGACTGTCCTGTATTGAGAACCACCCGTTTTGGCAGACTCCAAGTCCAATCATAACTTGGCTCAATTGAACTTGAATCTTGAATCTAGTGATGAAAAAGAACGAATCAGTAATTTTTGGCCTCGCTACAGGTTTTTTCTCTGTAATGTGCCTTACTCCTCCGTCGAAATCCTCGAAGCGAAGAAACACAGGCTTTGAATGGAGTCTTAAGCCTCGGGGCGCTGGTGCGTCTAGAGACATCAAACCGCATACGAAAAGATACATTATTCACATGATTGGCGTCAACCCACGGCGACGAATCCTCCTCAAAAAGTGAGGCTTCCACCATTGCAAGTGTCGTCAAATATTCAGTCACCCAACTCTTCCGTGCTTGAATTTTACGGCTTGGTGCTTTCAGTCTTTCCTCTCTTAGAGGCCAATGTAAGCTTTTAACACAGTGTGCATGTTCGATGCTTTTTCCGCTCTGTTCCGTACGCCATGTTCCCTTGCTCTAGAGAGTTTTCTAATCTTGAACGAGTAGTCGATTTTGTGGAGTATATTATTATCGGAAGTCCCTGTTTTACCAAATTAATATCCCTGGCATATAATTTTATTTGTAAAAAACTTACACGAAAAAAGCGACAAAGAAAATGAACGAAGCAGCCGCGTCGTTATGATTTACTGTTTTAATCTATCACAGCATGAATTCCACTCCATAAGAGTGTGCCACATAAAATGACTTAACTACATTTTTTAAATGTATTTAAATAATCGTTTATTACTTAATTCATTTTTTCCGGATGATCAATCCATCTTTTTTTTTCACTTTTTTACCTCCTAAAGATAAATGTAATTTTTCCTAAGAAAATATGAATGAAGGCATTTATAAAAATAAATCATCATAAAAATTAATTTCATCATTCTAAGACACTTCAAGGCACCTCATTCTGTTAAGGATAATTTTTAATGGACTACGCGTGTATTTCTTGAACTTGGCCATGTTTGCGTTCTAAAATACATTCATGTCTTGTCCAAGGTGATTGCCATATGCTGATAAAGGAGCGCACGATTGAACTAAAATACGCACTTAAAAGGATGAATTTCCATGGAGTCCATAAAGTCATTTCAACTGTTCCGCTCATCTATTTTCAAAGCCTTAAAAAGTTGTTTCAAGGTGTTCATTCAGAAGAGAAACAAAATAAAAGGGGCAACCAGACTCAGTTCAAAAAATTTAAGTGCAACATTGTTTTTGAGAATTCGCCGTAAAAGAAAAATTAATCGTGCTAATACGATATTAGGTCTGCATCTTCAACCTGCTCATCTCAACGAGAGAGTTTGTCTTTTTTCAATAGCTCAATAAAAAGAGATCATTACTTTGAATTTCCATTGTAATTAAACTCGAACTTTATGTAAGATGAAAGACGAGAGAGTGTCAACAGTTCACGAGGTCTGGCCGCGATAGGATAATGTAGATATATCCCCGAGCGTATATATAAGTTAACAAATGACCAGAATAAACACTCTGTCCTCAAATTGATTTCCTTTTCTTAGCCTCCAGTTGTCCTTGCTATTTTTTATTCGAGTGCTGTAAATAATAAATGTGCTCTCGATCTTTTTACAGCGTTATGAGGCTGAGCGTGGGTTTGCATCGTACCAATATAAAGAAGATAATTATTTACCACTGAGTATTTGGGTAGCGTTAAGCAAACCGCAGTCATACTTACATTCGGCTTATCGGAAAAAGTTTGGTATCGAAAAGAGCGGAAACTGCATTCAGCAAACGAAATATACCTACAGAAGGCGTATACACTTAAATGGCTATAGAGAGTAATTGAGCTTTGGGTGTTATTCATGAGTGATGTCTGTCACCCGCGCCATTGAGTCGCTCCCATCCCTTCCAATTTCTCATGCGTTTCAAGTATGTTAGCAGGTTCACATCATTGCACTTAGGTCTTCCCTCAAAAATCTGTATGTAGATAGGGAGTAGTTGCTCAACACCATGCATTTCAATGATTCCGGTCGAAAATTGCGAATTCCTGATTTCAACATCACAAATTTCCGTTCGTGGTGTATTTTTTTATGTATAAAAAATGAAGCAACAGTTTTTCTTCACAGCTAGTTTGAATATCCAAACGTCGCAGACGAGAGACGCATTATTAAAACTGAGCCATTGATTTTTTCTTTGGTGTAGGAAAATTAAATATATGATGCTCCGCGGTGGAAGTACCAGCAAATATATCACAACATCAAGCTCACTATTTCTGTTTATTTGTTTTCCAACGCTCGGAAGATGCAATATTTGGGACTACATCTGGCAGAGCCCGTCAAAGATTGCGGAAAAATTCGGCCACCAAGCCTTTGCGAATCCACAGAGGCCAGGAATAATTGAGCAGCCACATGACAATCAAGTGTATTCACCGAACCAGCATATCCCACCTAACTATAATCCACCGTTCCAACTGAACTCACAGTATGCACCTGTAGCGTCGCAGCAAAATCCAGCGTATGCACAGAACCCACAGAATGCACCATCAGCCCCGAATCTGTATCCATCCAACTCGCAACACTTACCTTTGCCAGCATCGGCGCAAGGTTACCCTCAACCTCAGTATCCAGGAATGGCGCCATACGCACAGTATCCAGGATTGGTGCCGAACCCCCAATATCCAGCGATGGCGCCAAACCCACAATATCCAGCGATGGCCCCAAACCCGCAGTTTCCAGCAATGGCTCCGCATCCACAGTATCCAGCAATGGCGCCAAACCCACAATATCCAGCAATGGGATATCCACAGCCTGCACAGGTCCCTGTGCAACCTCAGTATGCTCCAGCACCACCAGTTCAGACGGAGAGTGCTTTTTCAAGGTATCTCCGATATGCGGCGTATGGAATGAGCATTATTGGAGATTTGTTTCAAATAAGACACAATCATCGTCAGCAGAAAACTCTCTCGCAAATAGAGCAAAACCACCGTCAGCTTACTCCTCATGCCGGAATGTATCCAATGCCCCATCGCGAGCCTGCTCTACCGCATACTATCCACCATCACCACGAAGTGCACGTTATCCCACATCCTCACGGACAACACGTTATCCCACATCCTCATGGACAACACGTTATCCCACATCCTCACGGACAAAATATTCTCCCACGTGCTCACGCCTATGGATGAAACTTAGCAGTCTTCTCGTCCTATGATGTAAATTTAAAGACAGATATGTCCTTTCTATCACTTCTGAGATTCTTTTTCCTGGATGCTCTCGTCGAAGGCAAGTTTTTTTGTTACTCGATTGCATGCCCGATACATATAAAATTAGGCGGTATGGGACAGGATTGCTCGTTTTTAAGTCGGGTGATGTAAATTATGCTCGTATTTAAATAAATTAGACGATATGTCCTCTCGTTTTCTTTTGGTGTCGTAGTTAGGATGAAGGCTAATCACTACGGACCAACAAAATCTCTTTTTTAAAGCGGAGGGGGGATGTTAATTACTTTCTCAGAGGTAGTTAATTTGGGACCAAATGAAAGTTTTACACAGTTGCTGAGGAAGTTGGCACATACCTTTAGGTTCTGGGTTCGAATACTGGCAACTAATGGCGTCTTCTCGTAGAACTGTCGAGTGCGTACAGGCCAGCTGAACATTAAGATCCGCAAAAATCTGCATAGCTTTGAAGGCCTACATCATGACCTAACTCAAGACTCGATCCCAGGGTCGCATCATTCTTGAAAGATAGGATGATAAAAGAAAAATAATTACAGACATTTTCATGTGTAAAAAAGTGTAAAAATTTAAAATCCAACTTTATGGTTTCCTGGTTATATTACCGGCCAGGGCTCTCATTGTTGAGTGCAAACATGAATCTGTTTTGAGGCCATCAGTTCCTATGCCAGGATGCTGAAGTTTTGAATAAGAAAATAAGTCAACTTTTCACGTCTTTTCCCCCCTCAAGGATGAGTACCCTACTTTTGCAATCTCCTCCTAAGTTAATCATCACTAAAGCGATTACTAGAAAGATGCTTTTGAACAACGCAGCCGCATTTTTTGATTCGGAGCTTTCTTGGATTCATTTGCTCTCTAGAGAAAAAAATTTAAAAATCATATGAGAGAAAAGATGTGCTACCTTGCACGGCTAATTTTCGATCACCAAGTACCTGTTAAGATTCTCATTTAGCTCATTCATGCATGCATTCCAGTATGCATCTCATTCATCGTCAGACTAAAATCACCTTCTATGTAACTCTGGACGCAAAAGGTATTTGTAGTTTTCACGCGGGTGCACGAGTAAATGTAACTCTGGTGGAGGCAGAACTATAATAAGAGCAGGCATTATTTTTACATGGTCCCTGAAATTAAATAACCACATTCTACGCAAATATCGTGCTTATTAAAAATAATTCTCATCAATGATGCACTGTCCGTAGTGCAGTCGGGGGCATACCTCTGAAAAATAACTGAGCGAAACGATTGTACAGGAATTTCGATTTGTGAGTTGGCACGCGCAACACAGGAGATACACATTTTTTTCCCGATCTAATTCCCTCTGAATGGACTGTTTGGTTTTAAATTGACTTTTAATATCGCATCTCAATTATTATTTTTGTGCTCGTTTTTATATGTTGCATTATGAGGGTTGCTGATTTAGAGCATGAATAATGTTAACATTTTATTATTAAGTATGTGCTCAAGATTTTATGGATAAATTTCGAAGTGGCAAGCACAGACTCCTCCAATTTTTCACTTTTAGAAAATCTCGAAAAATTTTAACGCGCACTCCGTATTCTACAAGTGAAATTTGGATAAAGAGACATAATATTAGGGTGCTTTACTCTTCATCCTGTGCGTCGGCGGCACATTTTTATCATACAACTGCCACGTACTTCATTAGTTTAACTTGTAGGCATTTATGTATCGAAAATAGACGTGGAATTTTCATTTTCATTCTCTCTAAAATAATTGAAGTTAATTACTCTGAAGAAACTTTCGTTTACTACTGAAGAAGAGAGGAGACATATTTTAACATATTTTTTTCTGTTTATGCTTGCAGGGAATTCTCAAAGGACAAGATACCTCACGAAAATGGCACAGTCTGCGAGGATAGCGATTCTGTTGGAGATGGAAAACATATCAAACCAATGGATTAAAATCAGTGCTACATCAGAACAAGATTTTAAAATTAAGCATGGCTCGAAAATTTGGTTCAATTTTGTAATATTTTGTCAGATATTTGATTTTCGTCTATGCTGCCTCTGAAATACTGAAATTTTTCTAGATATAATATTTTACAGACAGTACTTGAGCTTCACAAACGTAAACTAGAAAATTTGATTTTGGATTAAGTTCTTATTCAATTCTGTATTAAAGCATAGAAGTAGGGTTTATACGTACTACTCACGTTTTATTTAACATAATTTTTGTATGAATTCAATGTATTCGTTTTTCCTGTAATTGTACCCATTTTATATTTTTTATCTATTATCGATTAAATCGTTGAGTTGATTGCAATGAAACTTTTATTGAACAATAAAATCAATGGATCAAAAGAAAATCCTGCCCTTGGGTAGAATTTAGGAATTAAAATTAGTATGTTAAAAGCCGTGGATATTAGAGACATTCGTTGTCTTTTGAGAAGCAGCTAAAAGTTTGCAGTGATTTTTCTAGCTCGGAAAAAAGGAAGAAAAAAATTACGAGGCCCGTTTCTATATCAGACGTATCACTTGTTGATTCTATTGTTCGCGACGAACTGTTGAAGTTGAGGGGCGAATGATTGATTCTTATGATACTTCCAACGTGACAAACTTGACAAGGGTATGAGATTGAGACAAGCCTTTCATACACAGCACGGAGGAGTCTTTTGTTGTGTTGACTCTAAGTTACTCAGGGAAGTCCAGACTCTTATAAGAAAGTATTTATTTTCGTCTGACATCTTATTTCAACGTACATCTGTTGTAGGTAATTGGTCAAATCAGACGTTTTATTTAGTGCACGATTTGATTCGCGTAGGGTATTGTTTTTTTGTGACCGCGGGCAATTCAAATTTATCCTAACCAATAACAATAAAAACGTTTATATCCCAGCTATGAGTTGATTTCAGTAGTTTTCGTTACGCGAATCGTGTCCTACGTAAAATTTCTACGAAGAATCACTTATCAGAGTGCTTAAATTCACACCTTGTTTAATGATCCATTCAATCTAAGTAAGAGAACATTATAGAGAACTTCCCTAACTTTTCTCGGAAAAAATATGTTATCGGAAGAAACAAGGCAACCTTGAAATACTTATACGGCGTCAAAACACAACATGGACCTTTGTAAACCCCATTATTGATGCCGCAATTATTCTAACGCAAGTTTGAATGATCGTGCCAAACACTGTGCTACCGGCGCGGCGCGGCGAGGCGCGGCGTTAAACGCACATTCGCGCCTGCAAGACTGTAGGAATACTTCACGCATTGCGCCAAACAGTGCGGTCAGCGCGGAAGGCGTGTTAGCGCCTACAAGACTGCGTGAATACTTCTCGCATTACGCGAAACGCAGTGTAGTCGGTCAGTTGCCGTGAAACGCATATTCGATTGCAGAAATACTTCACGCATTGCGTGCTCAGCACGGTGCGTTGTGCGCTTCAATCGTTGTAATTTCTCGGTGTTAGACCCATCACCCGCGGTGCGGTGGACACGGTATCCAACCAGTGCACAACGCGAGCCCGCAGTCCGCTAAGGATCGAGGAGATTTTCCTGCTTCCGTAAACTTTCTCAATCGCAAATGCCTAGACTGATAGACATATTTTAACAGTTACGAATTTGTGTAAATTTAAGACTATAAGCTCTCGATTTTTCAATAGTTTGTAAAAGGACCGCGTTTAGCAGAAAGGAATCAAGTCACATCAGCTATTGCCAAATGCAACGGAGCAATTTAATTTATCTATTTTTCGTATTATCGTAATGTAATTAATCTAAGAGAAAGTTTAAGCAAATTCCTTTGAAAATTTTAAGGAATTTGTTTCATACTGAGGAGAAAATTCACTGTTTGCACAAAAATCCGCGCAACCGTTTTCGTGTAAAAAATTAAATTGCCCAAATAAATTTGACTATAGCTGATATGGCTTAGTTCCTTTCTGCTTAACGCGGTTCAAACATAACTCATCAAATCTAAAAACTCTCCTTGCTCCTTCTCCTCCAATGCTTCTCAACTATTTAAAAGTTAAAATTTTTAAATTCTGTTTTTTAGTGTTTTCCTTCAGTTTGAGACGTTAATTGGCAAAACTGGAAGGAGGGGGGCAGGATCCATTAAACAATTATTAGGGATTTTTCGAAACGACTGCTTGATATCGCAGTCACCTTTAAAATTTTATTTTAGTGTAGTGGTCGCAGAAAAGTTGTTCCCACGACGTTGCAATTTCAGTGCTTCTCAGAGCAGGTCCCCTCAGAGCTGCGAAAATTCTCCCAGAGCACAAAAGGCAATATCGTTAGAGGAAACTGGCAATCAATAACGAATAAATCAAGCAATACTCGTAAAAGTAAGAGATAATGAGCGAGGAATGCAAAGTGAAGAATTACTAAGTGAAAGAGAAGAAGCCGTTTTGGAAAAAATTAAACAGGAATGGAGCCTCCGAGAGTTTGGAGGGGGTTGAAGAACAGATCTGGCCTATTTGGTTTTAGCATTCCTGCGTCCTTACTCTTGGGACCAGTAACTCTCGAACAGACGGTGACGGTGGGGAACGAAACCATCCGAAATCTTAGATCAAGGATGTGGTGCGGCGAAATTTTTCTTCCTCTTTTCTCTCCCTTTGACCCCCCCTATCTTTCTCACTCCCCCATTCTCGTGGCACGGTTACTTTCTCCTCCCGCATTCTTTCCCTTCTTTCCTGAAACTTTCCTTTAATTGGAATAGGTGAATTTCGATTTCCGCAGAACTTATCTCCTCCCCCCTTAACTCTGCCTTATTAACTTTTATTTCTTTC